GAGGATCGTGCATCATATGTATCTAATACCGCAGTTCAAAATATATGAACTTCATATATTTTCATTGTATATTTATCACTTTCACGGGTTTATTACGAATCAACTCAACGGCCTACTCCCAGTTGGCTTGTTAGCTCAATTGGTAGAGCGCTGCACTAGTATCGCAGAGGTCAGTGGTTCAAATCCCGTACAGGCCTGATTTTTTTTTGGGTCTGATTTTCGCTATTGCTTAAATAGCGCTATCTACTGCGAGGATCGTGCATCGTATGTAAAATTCCATTAAGTTATTCTTGACCGCTGGTATGAAAAAAAAAAAATTGCTGTCACTTACATACTTAGAAACGCTCATTCAAAATACGTCCATATGAAGAGCTCCATGTCTTACCAGAGCTTGAGAACATCTCCACGAGAATGGGTTGATTCAGTCATGTGTCGCGCTCTTTACATTCAGATGTCACGGATCCATTTTTGACCACATCGCACGCAGTTATTTCAAAGTTGTTCAAAGAAATGGTTAGTGTCAGGTGTGATACTTCTTCTTTTTATTTCAATTGACACTATGGAAAACATCAGCAACGCCCATTTCAGGCAGAAAGCTCGTCGGAATGTCCTTGTTTTCAGGTGATACAGTTACATGTAAATACAAGTATTATTCATTTTTATTGCGTCTTTTGATTTTGAATATCACCTCCAAGTTTTTTTTTTTATCATTTCCTTTTCGTTTTCTTTTTGCGTGTGTGTGTGTGTCTTTTCCCTTTGTGTGATTCAATAATTGGGCTAAATTGAAATAAATGAAATAATTGAATTTGCGCAAGACATCCAAAATGTTAACTTTGCGACGGGGATATGCTTTTTATCAAGAAGATTCGCACTGTTTGCCTTCAAGAATGGTGGAATATTGTGTTCGTTCTTAAATGTTACTGGTGGAAAGGGTGGAAGTGGCGCGCATCTATACCCCCAAATGATTGAAATTTACCTAAGCGATGAAGCAGGATGTTACCACAACAACTTCATCTTGTCGGTCGTTAGGGATGCAGGGAAATGAATTAGTATTGCAGTCGTGGTTTTACTTTTCCGAACTCCAGTATGGAAAAGATGTCTGTGATAGGATTCTTTGCCCAATGAAGTCATCAATCCGACGATACTCCAACAAGGGACAGGATATAGCTTCGATTCTGCCAATGATATGTGTGCAGCACTCTTAGGGGCCGACCATTTAACTTTTGAGGGGGGGTGGGTGATTTCTGGTCATCAAGAAATTTCGTTTCTAGCAATCTGCTGTGCAGGATATTTTTTCCGATTTTTTGGTGCATTTTTTTGTTATATTTGGGCTGCATGCAATTTTTTTCTTGCAGCAAGCGCTTGCAGGAAATTTTTTTTCAAAATCACCCACCCACCCTCAAAAGTTAAATGGTCAGCCCCTTAGAACGTCCTGTTAGAGGCTATGAGTTATACTGCTTGTGTGACCTCTCACTCGAATAGAGACTTGAAACTTTCAGCGTAGTCATGCTTAAGGAGACGCTTAAATTTTTTAAGACTCCGTATGGTTGCCGAGATAGGAAAAAAGATCTATTTCCTAAACTTTCCAAAATCTTACAGGGATGTGACCGTAACTGGTCTACCGAAAAGGTCTAAACTTGAAAGGTCTAAACTTTTTGAAAAGGTCTAAACATGAAAAGGTCTAAACTTTTTGATAAAAGTGCAGAACATTATTTGACCCGTTTTGGCAAGGACTGGTTCGGCGTAGACGGGGTTCCAAGTACTTTTTTCAGAATATATCGAGGAACAGAGCTTTACTTTTCTGGTAGCAGAGAAACTAGTTGATAAAACAAATAAAATATAAAAATAAGAGGAAAATGGCGAAAACATAGAAGCGTGGCTGCGAATTCTTCCGCCGACTCATCCAATTAATATTTTGAAATCCTACGTGAGTCACGCGATGTAAAGTAAATCTCTCCAAATTCGTTTACCTATAATCTACCATAACCAAGAAAGAAAAGGCCATTTAAATTTAAAGAGACAAATAGACGGTGAATCACCGGCGGTGATTATCAAAACTAAAAGAGAAAACTTGATTCATTAATCTTTTAGTGGCCACTGATTTTGTATTTTACCTTTTTTGCTTTGTTTTTTACTATTTTACTGTATCCCGTGAAAACATGGGCATTTCAACGTGCTTACCGCCTGAAATCGACATCGTCATAATTATGTCTTAAAAAAAATTACTTTTTGGTTCATAATGAAGTAAATGCTGGTATAAATTACAGTAAAAATAGGAAAAGTATCACTCTTGACACAAACCATTTCTTTGCAATGTAGTTAAATATGAATCCGTGACAATTTCAAATTAAAGAGCGTGACACATGACTGAATCAACCCATTCTCGGGGAGGTGTTCTAAAGCTCTGGTAAGTCGTGAAGTTCTCTTTATAATGACATATTTGGAATGAGCGTTTCCAAGTCTATTTTAGTTTTTTACAGCATAAATGCAATTTTGTCAAAATGTCACACAGAAGATGTTCATTTGTACCTTCGTAACTGCTAGATTTTGGTCAAGTTTGGATGAATTTATGGACATCCTCACCTTAAAAAAAAACAGTGCTAGTTTTGAAAATCGGCACTGCCTCAATAATTGATTTTGAGCGAAAAATGGAGTAACAAAAATATGCATAAATTAAGTCATGTGCACTTTGACCGTTGAAAATTAGTAAAGTTCATCGAGCTCCTGTAGCTCGAAAAGACTGGTTGCCAAAAATGTTTTTGCTGTTTTCGGTACACCAGCCCTAGTACTAAATACGGATAGTGGTGAGGACTCCAGATTCCATTATACTTTTGAGAAAAGCGTCTTAGAACAACAGCATACTTGCTCAAATTTGGAAAGTGCTGTTTGTGTGGCGTTTTCAAAACTGCGTAATTCTTAACTGTTTGGTCAGAATTTATATATTTTGCTATTAATCAACAGAAGAGATGTAAAATGATACCACACGTCCGATTTATGCTATTTGAAGAAATGCGTAAGTTTTAGGAGCCTCCAGCGAAACGCTGAAAATTGACTCTGAAATAAACAATTTTCCTTGCTTTTGACCGTCCTCGCATCTCGTCGCCAAATATTTGATAAAATAGCTTTACTAACCAAATAAATACAATTTTTTCTAATAGAATAGATCAACTACCACAGTAAAAATTTGAAGGAATTCTTTGAACGGCCGAAATTGGAGTGGTTGGTTCTTACGCGGACATCGTCTTAACTTATTGGATCATTGTAAACAATTCTTTGTTTTCAACCACATGACAAAAATTTGCTAAGTCATACGCGGCCGCCATGTTGGGTTCTTCCGAAGGCGTTCTTCCGAAGGCGTTCCCGATGTGAACCTTCAGTATTCGGATTACTTTGCGGATGTTGTCAAAAGATACGAGTCCAAAAGCAAAACAAAAACCACGGGCGAGCCGTTATGTAATAATGTCATAGAGCATGCGTGTCACGCATGACGTCACAACGTCACTTCTCTTCTTAAAAAAAAGTTAAAACATAAACGAGATTGAAATAAATAAACAAGGTTCTAACAGTCCACAATGTTCCGAGTGTGTACGACTACAAAATCACCCCAAAGGTTCTTCTAGCTTAAACTTGTGATCAGCTTGGCAGTATCACTATGCAGTTTCAATGAGACGCTGTGGTGGTCTGCGGACCCGTAGACTTCTTCTGCCGGGTTGATACTCTTGCGGGAATCGGGCTGTACGTTTCTTTCCACAAGACCATTTGATTTCGGGTAGTGTGGACTTGAGGTTATCACTTCTATCTCCCACTTACTGGAAAAGTCCTTAAATTTCACACTATTGAAAGGCATGTTGTCTGCGATTAGCCTCTCAGGGATTCCATGACGTGCAAACATATCTTTCATGGCCAAGATAACTGCTTCACTATTCTTACAGGAGAGGCGGGCTACTTCAGGATATTTGGAGAAATAGTCAATTACAAGCAGGTAGTCTCTCCCTATATACTAGAAAATGTCTGCTGCAACTGTCGCCCAGGCTCTCTCAGGGACCTCTTGAGGAATCAAAGGCTCTCTCTGGTTGCTTCGCTGGTGTTGCTGACAGGTACTACACTTGGATACCAACTCGTCGATCGCACTATTGATACCTGGCCAAAACACTGCACTTCTGGCTCGCGCTCTGCACCTCTCTATCCCCAAGTCAGCAGCGTGTATGCGTTGAAGTATTTCGGGTCGCAGGCTATGGGGAACAATTATGCGATCACCCTTGAACGTTAACCCCTCGTAGCCGCTTATTTCATCTCGGTAGTTCCAGTAAGGTCTTGTCTCAACTGGTGTCTCTACTTTAGTCTGTGGCCAACCACTCATGACAACTTTCTGCAACTGTTGAAGTTCAGGGTCACTCTCAGTTCCGTCCCTCAACTTGTGAGACATCGTCTCCGACAAATGTCCAGAGTCCATGACATGAATTTCAAACTCATCAGGTTGATCTGTACCGTTGTGGGGTAAATATGCTCTGGAGAGCGTATCAGCTAGGGGCAGTTTGCTGCCAGGTATATACTTAACCTTAACTGCGTAAGGCTTAATCCTGAGAATCATCCTTTGAAGGCGAAGGGGTGGTTGATGTATGGGCTTCTTCAGGATTGCTTCCAACGGTTTATGGTCGCTTTCAACCGTAGTCTTCCGTTGCCTATACAAATAATCATGAAACCGTTCATACCCGAAGACGATCGCCAGCATTTCCTTCTCCATCTGCGCATAATTTTCTTGGCTGGGAGTCAGGGCTTTGGATGCGTAAGCAACTGGGTGATCATTCTGCAGAATGAGCTTGCATCAACAGACAGGGTCACTGGTTCTTTCGGGTCAAAGAACTTGAGGACTGGATCTGATGAGATTGAAGTTTTCAGGCTTGTAAATGCATCATCCTCTACTTGTTCTCAGAACCATTTGACATCTTTCTGGAGCAGCTGGCGAAGTGGGGCACTCTTCTGAGACATGTTTGGAATGAACTTAGATAAATATGTTAGCACACCCAAGAATCTCCGTAAGTCTTCACGATTGGCTGGGGTTGGCATAGCAATTATTGCTTCAACTTTATTCGGGTCTGGCTTAACACCATCTGCACTCAACACGTGGCCCACATAATGAACTTCGGATACTCGAAAATGGCATTTCTCCCTGTTAAGCTTGAGGTTACGCTCACGGCAGCGGTCCAACACCTGTCTAAGCCTCACATCATGCTGCTCCACATCTTTTCCCCACACAACCAGATCATCCACAGTGACCTCAACACCTTTAATGTCCTGAAACAAATGAGACATAACATTTTGGAACACTGCTGGAGCCGATGCTATCCCAACTGGCAAACGTGTATAACTATACCGGCAAAATGGGGTGTTAAAGGTAGCTAGCTTGTTACTGTACGTGGCTAGTTTAACCTGCCAAAAGCCATGGTTAGCATCAAGGACATTGAACACTTTTGCACTGGGCATTCCGCTAATCATATCTTCCACGGTCTGCATGGGAAAATGTTCGCGCCTGACGGCACGATTGAGATCGCTAGGATCCATGCACACTCTGAGTTTGTTATTCTTCTTCTTAGCAACAACAAGACTATGTACCCAGGCAGTGGGTTCTGTACATTTCTTAATGACTCCCAGCTTTTCCATTCTCTGAAGTTCCTCTCTAAGAGGTTCGCGAAGGGCCACAGGAACCCGACGGGGAGGGTGCACAACACGGGTGGCATTGAGATCAATTTGAATCTTGTACTGGACGCCTTTGATCTCACCCGAGCCCTCAAACACGTCTGCATAATCGGATTCCAGGTTCTCTTCTTCAAGGCGGTAAATTCTCTTTATCAGGCCAAGATCGAGACAGGACTTCCATCCAAGAATGGATGGTAGATCTTGCTCAACAAGTATGAAGTCTATCACTGTGAATTTTCCTTTATATTCGCAAGTTAGGCTGACCTTGCCGCAAGGTGTGATTCGACGTCCGTCATACACTTTTACTCTGGCTTGCATTGGCAGGACTGTCTGAGATCCACTGGAAGCCGATCAAACAACGACTTGGAGATGACATTACAATCAGCCCCCGAATCTATTTTGAAATTCACATTTGTATCAACAATCTTGAGCGAGACGTGCCACTCATCTTTAGAAGGATCTCCCGCACTGGACTCCACTGAGAAAGTTAGCAAATCGGCTTCGTTGTCTCTGCACTCCGACTCAACGACTGCGTGTACTTTTTTCCCGCCAAAATCCCGTAGTCGCTTACGGCAAACATTCACAAAATGATCCTTCTTCTGGCAGTGGTCACACGTTTTTCCGAAAGCAGGGCAAGAGCCCCACGAGTGAGAAGAACCACAAAACCTGCACTTTCCTTTTCGTGAGCCCGAACCTGATCCTGAGCGACGCGAAGGGTTCTTCTTCAATCTGTCGCCGCCGCCTGCACGAATTTCATTCACGGTCGGATTTGCATTGTTTTGCTCCATAGGACCCATCGCTTCAATCTGTTCTTTCGAAGCCTCGGACGATCTTGCCATAGAAATCGCTTTTTCCAGTGTAAGCTTCTCGTCTCTCAGTAATCCTTCCTTCACTTGAAGATCTCGTATACTAAACACGAACTTGTCTCGCAACATGTCATCAACCGGCGACGGGTACTCACAAGATTTCACTTTGTTTTTCAAACGTGTGACAAACTGATCCACCGTTTCGGAATCTTTCTGTGTTATCTGCCAAAACTGATACCTCTCGAACACTACGTTCTTCCTGGGGTTGCAGTACTGCTCAAACTGCTCAGGAACTTTGTCCAGCTTGTTCTCATCGCCTTCGGCAAACTGAAATGTGTTGAAGACCTCAATGGCGTCTTCTCCTGAAAAGTTTAGCAATATAGCAATCTTGACTGCATCGGCTTTGGTTCCTTTTCCCGAAGCAGATATCAAACTACTGCTTAAATCGCCGCCAATTTTCTGTGTTCCCGTCGAGACTCAAAGCGCTTGGCTTTTGAAAACTATCCATAGTTTACTCCTGACACCATGTCAAAAGATACGAGTCCAAAAGCGAAGCAAAAACCACGTGCGAGCCGTTATGTAATAATGTCATAGAGCATGTGTGTCACGCATGACGTCCCAACGTGACTGGTGTAGAGGGTTCTACGAAGTCAAGGTACCACGAAAATATAACTGTTTAAGGCTTCGACCGATATGAGTTGAGAAAAAGTGATTTCTCCGAAAACATCGAGCTCCTTCTGAACGTTCAATATCCAGATATTGGGAACTACTTACAAAAACCCAAATGAAGTTGTTGTGTTCGCCAGAGTTAGTCACAGTAGTGTGTATTTTTTTCTGATGATCTCGGAGAGAAGCAAACAGAAAAATAAAGGACTCATTTTTTATCGACCGCGGCTAACAACTCTTGTTTTACTAGGTAATTTGGTTACTTCAACTAAGTTGAAATTGTAAATTGGCCACCGTTAACTGTTAAAAAGCTGACGTTTCGAGCGTTAGCCCTTTGTCAGAGCGATCTAGTCGATCTTCACACGACAGCTTCAAGTTCAGAAGATGTATCACTCATAGTACTCACATTAGCGAGTGATATGGCATATTTCAAGGATCTAAATTTTGGATTTAGAATTAAGACTTTTTGTGTGCTCTCACTTGGTGAATCGCTCACAGAGAGCCCAGGACATCCCACTTTGAACATGTTTTCTGGCAGAAAAATATGGAACTGTAATTGCTTGCAATTGCTATTGCATGGCAGGGTTATGTGAAGGGTGGTCTCATGTTGGGGCAGAGCTTTTTGCTGTGGAGGCTGGTGTTAGAATTAGAGATTCTACCACATGCACAAAGGAAAAGAACAAATGGCTTCTCTCTAGTCATATGAAAGAAATCCCCATTACCTATAAGTGAGATGGATTTTACCTCTGCCTGAAGGAAGGATGAATTGATGGTGGAGAAACACTGGTTAGTCCTGTGGCTACTAGTTCTAACCCTGGGATCAGAACAACCAGGACACCTGCCCCAACCCCAGAAGAGTAGAAAACTATTTTTAGAAGTATTTCTGGCTGTACAGTAAATCCAGCAGTCATGTTCCTTATCGCACCTTTAAATGAGCAGTATACTTGTAAAGAAATTGATAATGTACCCAAGCCCTTGCCCAATAGCTTTTTTTTAGAGAAGAGTGTTTGCAGTTAGATTACATAGAGTTGTTGCAGCAGCTAAGTTGATATTAGATAGATCACTTCACTCCTCATCCACCGATGCATTAACAGTCTTGAGATGGCTAAATCTTGAAGAACGTAGGAAAGGTCATCGATGTATACAAGTCGATGCATACAAGTGTATTAATGGCGAAATTAATCATTTTTTGGACATTGTAAGAAAGAGTGATATGCACTCCTACAAGACGCACAATAAGGATACTATAAAGCTCCCCAAAATCAAATACAATTGGGGAAAACATCGTTCGCGGTATCACTGTTTCAAAGACTTTAATGAGTTAGAGAGAACTGTAAGAATCTCAGTAAGTTTGCCAATTTTTAAGAAGTGCCTTTTCTGCTTTTTATAATTGAGTATTTTTTTAAATTAATTTTTGCAGTGTATATGTTGTAATCATTTTTATATTTCGATTTTAGCTCAAATTTCTATAGTTTAATTGTATTTTTATATTATACACATCTAGTATTTAGGACCTCTATGTAAACCACTATTGTGATGGAGCTTCCTAATAAAAGATTGTTATTATTAGTAGCAGTGTCAACAAATATTGCTTGAGATTACACCTGATGAGTGTGGAGCAATAGAGGCCTCAGCTAGAAAGCAGCCACAATATAAAGTTTGGTACCAAATGGCAGGCAGGCAGGTCGTATTACTGCTTCCAATCTAAAAACTGCTTGCAAAACAAATACAGCTAAGCCTGCTAAGGGTCTTGTTAAGTCCATATGCTAACCTGAAGCCCATAAGTTTTCAACTGCGGCCACGAGGTGGGGTTGTGAAAACGAGGGTAGGGCTCACAAAGCTTACCCGTCTGACAATTTCTGACCATGAGTCTTTGACAATTTCTGACAGTGCTCTCAATATTGATCCAAGGTGACCATACTTGGGAGCTTCTCCTGATGGGATTATTAACTGCAAATGCTGTGGGATGGGTGTGTGTGAATGAATGCACACAAGGATTCCACAATCGCTGAGGCTGCTAGCCAAACCAACTTTTCTTTAAAGAAAGATGAGTTTGGTAAAGTTCATCTTGACAAAATTCATGCCTACTACCAAGCTCAGGCCCAAATCTTTATCTGTGAGGTTGAACATTGTGATTTTGTGGTGTGAACAATAATAGATCTCTTTGTGCAGAGATTCTTCCTGACCAAGAGTTTTGGGAAAATGCACGCTCTGTTTCCTCTGATTTTTTAAGCAAGTACATTTTGCCTGAAATTGTGGGGAAGTAATATACATGCCCAGGGTGTGAACCGTATAGGTATCTATTAACGACTAGCATCTGTGACACAAACTAAACAAATGTTGCTTGTCAATGGTGTACCTTAAAGCTGTGTTTTTGTCAACTTGAGAATTACTGAAGTTCTTTAATGACAGATTGTGGCTAGCCTTAACTACAGCCTTTATATGAAAAATTGTACATGAAGTACCTGGAATCAAACTGGTTGTAAGTTCACCTCGATCAAATGGTACAATGCATGGACTCTGATAAATTGGTGAGTGCATAGCACACTATGGCAGCTTTGTCAATAGGAGCCAGAGACACACCTGGTTTTGCCTTTACCAACGAAACAATACCGGCTTCCGCAAAGTATGTGCGTGGTTATCCCCCAGTTTGTGTTGTTATTATCACTATTTAGAAAACACAGCATCAATTCCACAAGTATCAGTAATTAGCTGAATCTCAAACTAAACTGTATACGTATGCGCCAAGTTTGGAAAATTTTTATTACAAAAGAAACATACAGCCTTGAAAGCTTAAACAATAATCACTTTTAAATTGCTTGCTTGTTCATACCTGTAACACAACCAAATTCAAAATAACCAAAGACAAGACAGAGTTGGGGCATGATAAGAGGGGAAATTAAAACTGTAAAACGATCATACCGGCTTCCGCAAAGCACGTGGGCGGTGTAGTATCCAACGAAAAAATTTACCGTTGACACAAAATAAAGGTATTACAATCCAAACTACAGCACAAGTCTTAAAATAGTCTACATTGGCATACCTAATTACAAGTATTGACAGCTATTTAGAATGCATGACATTGACAAGCATATGCGTAACGCCTACAACTTACACTTCAGACAGCTATGTTACAGGGATAGAGTTCTAAAGTGTGACGTCACGTTGCCATGGTGCTAGATTTTTCTGTTGTAAACAAATGTTTCACGTTGCGCGCCATTAACGTGACCTCTTTGTTTTGGTAACTTAACCTCCAATTATTACGGAAAACTAGCTTATGTCAGAAAAGCGGATAAAATAGACAATCGAAAGTAATTGTTGATATAATCATTCAATTATCGATATCTCTTGGATATTTTTTGACAATTTGAACGTCAGAACTGAAGCGTTCTTGTGACGGCAAGATCAACATGGTTCAGTGCTTTGCACCTGATTGTAATCACGCTTCAGAAAGCCATAGCTTCCGTTTTTTTGGTTTTTCAAGCAGTACAAAGAAGAAAGAAGATTATAAGCGTTTGTTAAGACTTTTAAGGTAAGATTTATGATCGTTTTGATAGCAGATTCATCGTGGCGAAAATATGGAAGTCTTTTGTTTACAAGTTGTCTTTTCATTTTTTGAGTGTTTCCTGTGGTATTAAAACATGTTTTCCGTAGACGAGCTGACCGATCTCGAGGAAAATACTCCAGAGTTTGCAGCTGCCACTTTCGTGATGGCTTTAAAGAAAAGGGACCTCAGATTTCTACGCGAAATTTCCAGGCGAAATTTCAACACTCTTTTCCCTTCTGATGACTGCTCGGCTGCTGCAAAGGCAAAAGCAAAGGCACGGAAACTGAAAAAACATCACAAGCAGAATCTGTCGAAGAAATGGTGTCAAAATACAAAGAAAAAGATAACACAAAACACAGGTCTACTGCTAGTTCATCAGTGCAAGAGGTGGTACTCCAGAGAGGAAGCTAGACTGCAGTGAAAAAAAAGAACAGTACCAGAAAACTCATTATACAGTGTAACAAATCTAAGTGCATAAGTCTTGAGGATGGAAACAGGTTTACCTATCAAAGAGATTTTTAACATTGTTTTTGATTATGCTTTACGTTTTAAAGATTCCATTTCTTACTTTTATGGTTGGGCTGTTGTTACTATACCTTTTGAAGATCACAGTTTTATTGCCTATATGAAATGTAGACAGAATTACACCAATCTACATCTAGCACAGCTATTTTGCTGTTCTCAAGTTACTATTATTAATATTGTTATTACTTTTACATACGTTTTACATGATCTTTTGTTTGAAGATATTATGACAACCATTCCATCAAGATTGAAAAACAACACCTGCTCACCACCCTCTTTTTCAGGATTTGGCTCTTGTAAAGTAGTGATAGATTGCACAGATATAGAGATTGCAGCCCTAGGGCTTATGAGCCAACAGAGTGCCACCTATCCTAGCTATACAGGAATGAATTCATTTAAAGTTTTAAAGTATTAGTTGGAGTGGCACTTAATGCTGTTATCACTTTTATTACTCCACTGTTCCCTGGCTCTATATCAGACAAAGATAATGTAAAGAAGTGAGGTTTGTTGAAACAGTTGGAAACTAGTGACTTGGTTCTAGCTGACAAGGAATTCCTCATAGGAGATATTGTCCCACATGGTGTCTTTGTAAATATCCCTCTGAGGGGTATTTACAAATAAGGGATATTTACTCCTTTATCATATTTATCCCTTTATCTAGGGGATATTTACCCGTAAGGTATAGCAAGTTATAACAGCCATCTTTGTTGATTTTCAAACAGAAGGACTCATTCTTTACTGCATTAACAATCAGTTCATTTCGTTCGGTATAGGGGCACTTAATTTCAAGGACATGATTCTGACCCACAAGTCCATCAGGTGATGCCCCTAGTATACCTCTCTCATGTAACCACAGACCAGTTTCTGGTACGGGTAGAGCAGTTGAATTAACAAAGAACTCTAAATCCTCTTTTCCATTAAATGGAAAAGAGGTTCAGTCTTGAAAGGTCATCTCCAAAGAGATGCTTCATTAAAGATGGTGTTACTCTTTTGCACTTGAGGACACTCCCAAAGTTGCTTGCCGTTAGTCCACCTTTTCTTGCTTGGTGCCACATAGAGTTATCTCTTTGGCCTTTGGTCAGTTCAGACATTGCATGATCTACGTTTGTGGTGGGCAATCTGATTTTGTAGACCTTGAATTTCTAAAAGGTTCTCAGAATATATAAGCTCTTCTATTGTGGGGATAGGCATTGGATTAACCTTAGGTGGCTCTGGGGTCCTAATCAGCCATATACCAGTAAATTTTCCTTATCTTTGCAGCCTTGAAAATAAAAAATTCTGTCCTCTTCGTTAGGATCTCGTGATAACGCTTTGTATTGCTTCTTCAGTGGGAACATTTCAACTGCTGATTGTTGATTGTTGTTGGGTTCAGTTTTTTTTTTTCATCTTCCACGAACACTGGATGTCTGTTCGGCTGAGATTATGGATGCCATGGATGAAGTGGGCGGCCGAATGCTCCACGTGGAAATTCACAGCTAGTTTACGTTATGTTAAATTTACCATCAAGGTAGATCTAAAATTGGAAGGATGATAGAGACAAATGAGCGTTGCTGCGATCAAAGCGTTGGTAGCCTTAGCATAAAAAATATGGCTCAAACTAGCGTGAAGTGCATTCGTTAATGTTTGAAAATACATTGTTTCCTTTCATCACAACAATCTCAGTAAACGAGTTGCGCTTTATTTAAAAGAATAAGACTGAAATCAAGAGTTCATAGAGCACATAAAATGATCCGTTTTGAAGGCCAATGATCGTAGAACTTACCGTCACTATATATCACATATCCTTCATACTTGCTTTGACTTGACCTCTGATAACTCCTTGATCGTAGATAAAAGTCTCAACGTGACCTGATTTGTAGTGATTCTCGCCTTTTGTTATGGATTTATGCTCATCAACGAAGAATAAACTCAGAGAAGAACTACTTAGAGACGCCATCTTGGATCGACAGCGGTTTGTTTAGAACAAGAAAATCCGTAGCCGAGGGAACTTGACGTAATGGCTTTAGCACTATTGTAACGCGTGGTTATCCCCCAACATGGCTGACCCCAGTTTTTGAATTTATGCCGACGTCACGTGCAAACAAAGAATTGGGGGTATTTTTAAAGTTAAACCAGTTTAAATGTTGGACCATTTGAACCATTTCCATCATTTTTATTTGGTAAACCATGCATTTTACCGGTATGAGATCTTATCTAGTAAGACTGTTCAAAACTATTGGACTTTATTTTTTTTAGTAACATCATTTTAGCTGATTGGAGAATTTTAGTCAGTTGTATAATTTACTCTATTTAGACCATTTGGTACGAGACGGACCATTTTAACTGGCTGCATCATTTTAACCGGATGGACCACTTTTGTAGCTTGAGCAATTTAACAGGTTGGACAATTTTAACCATTTAAAGGCCCTTTTCCATCCGAGATCCTTTGCAGTCGTTTGTTTTTGTTTTGGAATCGCGCTATTGTTAAATGGCGAACTCGGATAGTCATTCACAAACACTATTAAAAGGAAAACAAAGATTTGGTGAATAATACAGTAAACAAATTTGCAGCTAAATATTTGAGACTGAAAAATCATAAATCGAGTCTGTGTACAAAACTTGTACAAAGCTTACCTGATGTTGAAGGAAATTGTTCGGCTTCAACACTAAATAAAATATAAACAAATAACCAATATTGGCCAAAAATGATTTAGTACGCATTTCAATTATAGAATAATGACTTCTACAAATGAGATCGCTTACATACATATCTCAGGATCTCAAGTAAAAATCAGTCAAATAATTATTCTCAACTCGCAAAAACCTCCCCGGAGTCTCTAGTTCCATCAGTGCAGTAACATTTCTGCAAAAGCACTGTCTGTATTGTTACCGAAACCCATGGTTGGTTTCCTTGCCCTCCACAAATCATACACAGACTCTCGAAGTCGAATAACCTTTGCCGAGCTGGGCAGACTCGGCCTTCCTCTAGACCGCTTCAGTCGGCAGCATCAACTTTTCAAATGACGTTTTTCACCGTCATACATGTAAAAATTAAAAACTATTTACTGATATGGATACTACGATAGTTTGTTGTTCGCACATGATTCAAGATGGAACTTTGAAAGCCCTAATTAGTAAGATGGAAGAAGATAACAAAGCGATTCCGCAACTACGAGGAAAATAGCGTAATTTTCATATATGAAAAATGATCCGGGCGCGCAAGGCATCTCGGTTGGAAATGGGCCTTTAAATAATTCTCTCTGGTTAGACCATATGACCAGTTGGGCCATTTTATGTATCAAGACCATCTTCACCGTCATCACCATTTTATCTAGTAAGACCATTTTTAAGCGTTTGGACTATTTCATCTAAAAAGGTCATTGAACTGACTAGACTAGTTTTTCAACCAGTTGGACCATTTTACATCACTTTCGAAAGATTTCCATATTCTGATTTGTTGTTTTTATTGCATTGCTTTTTCTATATGCGACACTTAAATGGAAGAGACCTGTTTACTGATATTCGATTTGTGAACTAAGATGTTACAGAGTGTAGGATAGGAACTTCACGTTGTGATATTCGTACCAAGTGTTGCAACCCCAGAGATCTTTTTATCAACTATTTCAAAAAGACCTTTTAGCGGAACGTAACAAGTAGTATGGTTGATAATTTTTTCTGTAAGCACATCACACCATGTTATAATACATGTGCTGTCAAACGGTGTTTAAGGAATCCTAATTCAATTTATTGCTAATGTTATTTCAGATATAGACGAGTGTAGCAAAGAGAGGCATAGCTGTGACATCAATGCCTAATGTAATAATACCCACGGTTCGTTCAGCTGCACATGTAAACATGGTTTTGACGGAAACGGCATAAACTGCACGAGTAACTATAAGATATCTACCTGCGCCATGTTATTTATGATTTTTGCAACCCATCCACGTGTGATAAAATTTGTTTCAACTGATTTATCTTTCCTGTTTCAGACATGGACGAGTGTACAAATGAGTTACACAGATGTGACGTCAATGCCTAGTCAGTATAATAACACATCAGGATCCTACATCCGGCTGTACGTGCAATGTCTGTTTTTATGGAAACGGTACAAACTGCTATGGTAATTATCCGTGAAAGAGGTTTTGAACTTTCTCGAAATAAGATTTGATATATTCAGTGGTTTGGTGAGCACGAGTGCGAATCTGAAAAGCGCACAGGTTTCTTTTTAATGCTTCATTTCATCGTGTTGGGTTGAGCTCAAAATTGGAATTTAGCGTTATCCTCTTAGGTCCTATTTATGCCTGAGCTCGGTTTTACGTTTGGTATGAGGTTACGTCGAGTTGAGTCAAATTTGAGTTCGAGGTACAGTTCACGTTCGCGTTAAAGTTTTCGTTAGCGTATACGTTCCCGTTCACGTTCCAGTTCGAGTTCGGGATCTACATCGGGTATGAGCGTGAACACGAGTTTGACCTTCAGAGCTTGAATAGAAGTTTCAGTTTGCTTTTGATTTTAAGCTCATGTTAAGTTCTGAATTTTGCGCTGGAATTAGATTTCACCCTGGTTTTTAGTTTGAGCTCGATTAAAATTTGATTTTGACTTTCACCTCATTAAGCTATTTTCTTATTTCCTATCAGGTGCTTCACAAATGTGTTTGAACTATAATTTTATTTCCGAGTTTTACCTTGACTTCAAGTTAGTGAGCAATTCTTTCATGAGAGAGATAGATACAAAACTGTTTCCAGGTTCTCTTTTCTTCCGGAGAAGCAGGCGGAGAAAACTAACAACTGCGATAAACGAAGTTTGAATTTTTCCAAGATGTCGCTGGAGAAGGAAACTTTCACAACAAACTTGATACTACTAAATGTATGAAGTATGCTAGATAGGTTTTAGTGCGTAACGGCCTCTCTCTCATGAAAATATTTTTATGGACAAGCAAAGTTCAATTTGTATAAATTGCGAAATTGTAATCATTTGCAAAATCTTATCCTTGCAGCACAACCATATTACCATATTAGTTGAAAATGGGCTCTCTCCCGTGCAGCCAAAAAATTTTATTCAGTGATTCATTTCGTTCAATTTTTAATTCAGTTTTATCAATTAAATTTCAAATCCGATTGTCATAGACATAAAAGACTCTGTGTCGGATTTAGAGAAATGCAAAGCAGATTCATATGACGTCTAGGAATTTTGCCCGGGTAAGATTTCTCTTCATGTTTACCTCTCTTGCTATACATTTAAGCTTCTTAGCGTTACTGGTGTGATCAGTTTCGTGTTGACGGATGCCATGAGCAACATAAATTATTATTCTTTTCTTTTATTTTGTAGCCACTATTGTTCGACAGCCCATAGCTCGATATCCACTGGATGGAAATTCTGATGTATATGGCTCCTACCAGTCCTCTGAGCCGTACAATAGCTACAGTGAATTCCCAAACGATGCAAAGCTAACCATGAATCGCTCCCTCACGGTGCTATGTTGGGTGCATCTAAGTCATTCGGCAGTATCTGCACCATTGGTTAGTCTGGGGAATGTTCGCTTGGTTGTAAGAAACGGCTTGTTGGTTACTTATTACACTTCTGAAAAGTCACGGAGCTATGAGCAAATTTTGACGCCAAACCAGTGGTATCATGTTGGTTCTCCTTATGATTCCAGCAATGGTGACATAAGTTTGTGGGTGAATGGAAGAAGAGTTGACCAGGAGACTATCGAAGTCAAGATCGATCTTGCTGTAGAACAACACATGAGAATAGGCGGAATGGACATCTCTTATTCATACAGAAAGCGTTTGTCGAGAGAATAGGAGAATAGAGAGAAATAATCGAGGGGTCGTTCTGAACAGGAGATATGTATTTCGTGTAATGCAAGAGTTGAGTTTCCCGTGATAGACAAACCCTCTCCAGTTTCTAAAATGTCTCCACTCTTTTACGTCTCGGTCAAACATGGACCTTTCGCAAGAAGGGGTGCTACCAGACCTATCGAAGACATCGGAGCACGAAGGAACATATTATTTTAGCCAACATTCTCAAAGGCTTGTTTACTAACTTGAAACAGACTCCTCTTGAAATATTCAGCAGTACTCAGCAGTATGAAATCGACTTATTGACGACAAAACCTTGATCAGCTACCTTTAACCTTTTAGTGGACCCAATCAATCACAACTGACGCAAGTTAGCTTCTTGAAACTTGCAGCCAAAAACATTACTACAAAACTGACCAACCAGGTTTAATGCTGGAGATTTAAACATTTGTTCAACAAAACTCTCCTTTTAAATATACAACTGGCTCAAGATGTGAAAATTTTGGTCACTATTCTCGACAACAGTCCCTTTTGAGAATGTCCATACAATACTTCTTCATGAACAAAGGATTTATTTGATTGGATTACTAAATTTTCAACTAAAGATGTGTTTAGATGTTTGAAATTTGCTTTTTGTTTTCTACTTTTTGGAAAAACATTACAGGATGCGGAGATGCTCTCGGTATGGAAAGTGGTGAAATACCAAACTGGCAGATCAGCGCCTCCACAGAATTACGTCCGTTCTACGGTATTGCAAATGAAGTCAGACTCAACTTCAAACAGGGAGCAAAAGGCTGGGTAGCATCAAAAATTAGCAGTCAGCGGCTGCAAGTTTATCTTGGTAGCCATTGTACTCGAGTTTTTCGTTTAGCAACATAAGGAAGAGGTCTTCATAACAACTGGGTGACCAAGTACAAACTGCAATTCGGGAACGATGGAGTGAAGTTTCAGTCTTACAGGGAACAAGGAAACTCTACACAAAAGGTGGGAAGCGGTGCTTCTTTCATAATGACGTTTATGACACGATTTGTACTTTATCGTACTTCATTCTTCTCAAACGGAAACGACGGTCAAGTCACGAGAAAATGCTGACTTTGAATGCCGAACTCTTGTAAGGGGAGCTAATGTCGATTTCACGTTGAATTATTACCCCTCTGCAATTCAATAT